CTTTCTTTTCTCCATCTTTTCTTCCTATTGTATAGATATATTTTTGTTTTCAGTAGTTAATATTTATAGTCTGATCTACAACCAAAAGTAACTCATTCATTTTTTTGTTCGTAGACTCACTTTAACGGTTCAAAACCAATAATCAGCATTTAAATTATTATCGCTCTATAAATATTGCTATTGCAGTGTCAAGCCGTGTGGTAGGGTGACATTCCCTTTCATGGACCCAATATCCTGGTTACTGGGACTCTCACAGGAGAATGTTTCCAGTCGTGATATCAAGTGCATTGATAGTCCATCACTTGCTTAAAACTATGCCATGTGTTAGTATTACTTCATATTTGCACTGACTTTCTTGTATAGTTTTTTTTTCCTTAGAGTTTCTAGTTCTAACATTGGCTTTTTTATTGTTGAAAGGAAGTTAATGTAATGTCTCCATAACAAAAAGATTTCCCATCCTTTTAATCATGGAGTTTCTTTTCCCTAGAGATGTTCTTGCTTGCCTATTTAAACTAGACCATTTCTAATTCTTTTAAAATCTAATTCTTTTAGATTCTACCAACAGAAAAGTTAAGAGAAAGAGAGGACAGAAAAGGAATAAAAGGAGAAAAGAAAGAAAGGTAGGTAACTGTGAATAATTTAATATAATATTGGTTATAGGATTCTGTACCTTATTAATTAAAACAAAATCTCCAGGGAAATTTTTTAAAATATATTTTTATTGATTTCAGGGGGAGAGAGAGAGAAACATCAATGATGAGGGAGAATTGATTGGTTGCCTCCTGCATACCCCATACTGGGGATTGAGTTCGCAACCCAGGCATATGCCCTGACTGGGAATCGAACCATGACTTCCTGGTTCATAGGTCAGCACCCAACCACTGAGCCACACCATGGGGGCTCTACATGGAATTCTAATGAGATATAAGGAAGGACGTGTTTAACATGGTAGTTAACATGGAGCTAACCCAATACTGTCCTTTTTCTTTTAAAAAAAATACTCATAAAACTACACCGACAGATAAAGACTTATTTCCCAACTTTGAGTTCAATTTCAGGGATGAAGTGAAGTGGTAGAAGGGTGAGAAGGTGGGGGGGCGGTCTTTATGTTTCCAAGGCATGGAAGGGGAGAAGATACCTAGTTCTCAGTGTTACCTGTTCATACGGGTACATTCTGAGATGTCTGTCATTCTGTCTGGCACTGACATGTCTTCATTCCTGTCTGCCTGTCCCTTCAGGTATAGTGGTTCTCTCTGTTACTTCCATGTCACATGTAAGGACATGGGCATAATTCTGCTTCCTCACTGCCATGCAGGGGTACTAAATGCAAGGCTATTTAAAGCCTGGTCAGCATAACCTCCTCTCCCAGTCATTGTTACTATCCAAGGCTCAGAATACAGCCTCCTTCCCCCCACCTTAGATTTCTGTGGAATTTTACTGCTTCCCTGGTGCTCCATGAATCAGGATACAGGGCCCTTCTTTTTAGAATCTATCAATGTCTATACTCTTATCACTTCCCCTTACTCTGGAGAAATTTCTATTTTTATTGCAACTTGAGGTCAGGTTGTGGGGAGGTGAGACTCATTCTTGTTCTTTTCAGTTGTGTTTCTTTCTAACATGTTATCTCCATGTAGAAGCTTCTCTAGTCCCCTAATGGCTTACATTTTTAAAAATCAAATTCAGGAAGAGTTCCTTTTTTTGTTTGTTTTTTTGTTTACTACCCTGGTTTATTTCTTCCTAAAGCAATGAACTCACAGCTGCCTAGTTATTTAAAAGGAGTTCGGGGGAAGGAATAAGGAAAAAATGAATTAATAGGAGAGAAAAAAAGTTAGTATTTCAAAACTATTATGTGTTAGAAAAATTATTGAAATGACAAATTTAGGGAATACTATTTGCTAATATTTGTCAATATTTACTATGTATCAGAGCTGTTCTAAGAACTTTACATGTATCAGGTAAATCTAATCATCACAGTAATTAAATAAGTCCCATTACTATTCTGATTTTACAGATAAGGAAACAGATACAGAGGAGTCAAGTAATTGTACTAGGTTTTTGTTTG